GGTAGGTCAATGGGGGGGGGGGGGTACCGTATATGTATATATGTATTTATGTATATATATACATGCATACATACATACATACATACATATGTACATACATATGTACATACATACATATATGTATATCCAGAGGTGTTGCAGCATATCGCCTTGATTACGTTGTCAGTGCGTCGAAATGCCTGTTGACTCGGTCGAGCACAGCGCCCTCAATGGAGACAGGGTTCGGAGAATCTGACCACGGCTGATGGACACATTGGTGAAGTCGATTTGCATGCGCCCAGTCCTGATAAAAGCTAGTCTCGTTGGAACAAGCTCGTCTCCTTTGCTCGACTGAGCCGATCTAGACTGCACGTCTGCTCTGAACGACATCGCATTCCGTCTGAGCACCCTAAGCATTTGCAGGCTGTGGCGTGATGCATCGTTTTTGCCGGCTTCGCTTTCCACGACAACCGAGACCAGGACGGCTGAAGTCGTAGCAAATCTGCATCTTCCTCTGCTCTGAATCGCACCTGTGTCACATTTTGTCCACGCATACCCACATGGACACTCGCCTCTATTCTCAGGCACACCCAGTCAACTTCCAGCAGCTGCATTTGCAGCACAAGCGCGTGCTAAACCTGCAGCAAGTCTTCCGTAACTTGGGGCCCGGCGTCGACCACACTGGAGCCTCTAAGCCAACTTTGGTTTTGGAAGTTTCTGGGGTCGTGCTCACTGGCGACAGGAATGTCATTCGCCGACGCTGTCCCTTGAATGACATTGGTTATGCTTTGTCCGAGTGCATAGTTCTTGGGAAGAGGTGAAACCCGCGGGTGCAACGTGAACGAAACTCGAGGCCCGCACGCTGGCCGACCGCCGCCGAGGCCTTGAGTCGTGCGACTTGTCCCAGTGCTCTTGACATAGGGACGTGCCGTCTGTGTGCCACTGCCGTTCTGCCACAGGGTCTCCGGCCAGCGTGATGACGGCCTCTGACAACTGGAGGAACACCTGGTCCGGTCTGACCAGCACTCATCGATCATCGAATCAAGACACGTATCCTGACACAGCTTGCGTACTGCTCTTACAACAGGTCCTACATGACACACAGCACTTCTTTGCTGCTTTCACTCTTGCCCTCCACGCCTCCCAGGTGCGCCAGGCTCCACCTGCTAGCACTTCTCCTCGTCGCAGATGCCCCACCTTCCGGGTGGAGGCTCTCTCGGCCACTCCCTGTAACTGTAAGGTCGAAAAGCACTGCCGACGCAGGCGCCTGCCAGTACTGCTCCCCAAAGATCCTGTCGACGCAGTTTCAAAAATCCCTGCCGTTCTGAGGGGGTGAGAACGGCTCGATGAACTCATTGCAGGAGATCAGTTTTGGACATGTGGCTGTGCATGCTGCTACTGCAGCCGTCGTCATGACTTCCTTATCTCAACGAGACCCCTTTGAAGTGAGTGCACCTTCGCGGGTTTGCCGTCATCAGCCGCAAGATTAGTCTCTCTCCGGCCGGAAGCTGCACCTGTAAAGGTGCAAAGCCGAATTGTCTTGGCTGTCGCGGTTGTGGACTCCTCCCCAAGCATCTGAATCTCCACCACTTCGCCAGGCTCCCTAGCTGTGCAGCTCACTTCCTCGGAAAACAAGAAAAACAGGACCTCCTGTGTTCAACCCACATGCTCGGGCTCGGGCAACATGGGCGGGCATCCTGGCACTGGTCCAGTCCGGTGTCAAGCCTGCAGTTCCACCAACACCTACATAATGTTGAAGAAGGCAGCAGATGGACGCTGCGCTTTGCTGTCAAGCAGCCTGCCAGAGGTCCTTGTAGCCACCCAGTCTCAGAGCATTCTGTCCTTGGCATTGGTATCGAAGCAAAGCAACATGGACATAGCCGCGCCGTGTCGGCTCCGACCCCTACCTGTATCCAGAAGGCAGCTTGATCCGCAGGGTATCGCCAGGCAAGACCTTCCATGCATCCAACTCTCGTGGAAGGCTCGCCAAGCTCCAGCGCGTTTCTGTTCTGAGGCTTGCGCAGTGTGGGCAAACACCACGGACAGCAGCAGGTCTGGCAGAAAAGCTTCTGCATCCTGGCTGCCGTCACTTCGCACGCTGCTTGGGCACGATGCGGATGCAAAAGTGAAACGCGGCATATTCAGGTGTTCCCTTGATGACAGAATTGCCTGACTCGGCATCACGAGAGGACCCGCACTGCTGGAATCGTACCTGTAGCTGACTGCACCATTCTGCTCGGCAGAAAAAAATGTGATACGTCTCCTCCAGCCCCTCGAAGCGGACCTTCCAATCGCCAGGTGCGCAAGCGGTTCGCACAGCCGGAAGCTCGTAACCTGCAACTACCGAGTCTGATGGAGTGGCCAGAGCCATTCGGGCATGCCACGTGGACACTCACGCTCGGACTGGCTGTGATAGCCCTGTGATATCTTTATGTTGAAGCCTGGCCAACATCCAGCTTCACCCCAGAAACGATGTCGTCGAAGGATCTCGGTGTGAGATCGCACTCCGAGGGGTGAACGACAAAACCTCTTTTCAATCCTCTGACGCTAACAAACCCTTGTGCATGGACCCTCGAGTCTGCTCCAACCTTTAAGCCCTTGCGCGCCCTTGCGCATTGCAGGTCTTTGTGCAGGACTGATATATAGCTTGCTGAGATTCTCTTCCGCTAAAGCGATTGGCGACGTACGGTACCGTAGCTTTGGGGCCGATGTTGCTAAGGACTAGGGGATGGGGAATGGTCGAAGTTGGAGAGTGCCCCTTGCGAGTGCCTTCCGCGCTGACCCCTGTGTAAAAACTGATTCTGGCTGTTTCGGAACTCGGAGCAGGAGCAGTAGCAGCAGCAGCAGCTGCAGTCGTCGTCGTCGTCTTTGTAAACACCCCTTGCGCGCATCGTGTTTTAAAGCAGCCGGTGCGCAAGCCATACGCGCATGTGACTATTGCTTACGCGCGCTTGCGCGCGCATTTGTTTATGCTGCCCCTAGTCTGGCTGGTTCTTCGATGGTTTAGGTCTCTGCGCCTAAAGTGCCCATGACATGAAGGCCTGTCAAGGATGGCCCTGCATCCAAAGTCCATGCGAAGCGGCTCAAGCTTCCAGGAAGCCTCAAATCGATCCGACGCCAAAGCGACCTTCGCGTCGGGACATGAGTGGCTCTCAGTGACTCAGGATCCTCGAGCCGTTTGGAATTCTAAGGCTTCGAAGGCTCTAAGGCTTTAAGGGAAAGGGAAAAAATCTGTGTGACTGCCGGGGTGGTCCGTGAAAGACTTCCCAGACATACGGGCAGCGTGCGGCAGGAAAAGTCCCACCTAGGATGACTATCTGATGGCAAGTGGCGAAGCGCAGCCCCAAGTGGTACATCTGACCTCCGACGAGCTTGGTGGAGACTTCCCGGAGCTTGATCACGAGCACGCTTGCGGCCTGTTAGCTACGTTCACAGCTGAAGGCAGAAACTGCGTACACACGCGCAGGTGGTTGAGAAGCTTCTGTAGCTGGCCTGCAGCTCGCAATCGCACTCTTCGCTCCTCGGGTGCCGCGTTCGCGCCGGAAGCCACTAAACCAACTTTGGCAAAGCTTGTGCAAACCTGTCTCCGAGCTTGCTGCGAAGGCTGTGAGCACACTTCCATTCTGCCCTCGTCAACCTACGGTGTCAGCTGAAGAAAGAGGGATAAGAAGCCACGGCCGTGACATGATGCCCGCAGAAAGGTGTTTTTCATATACACTCATGCTTATACGCCTTTCATATCGCAAAGTGAAGTACCCCATGGCCTCAACTTCGAAGTGAGAGAGCACTCCGCAGCTTTCGCTGCCGTTGACAAAAGTGAAGCCCGGAGGAGCATGGACAAGAAGTGCGGACGCGTGCCCTGCGCAAGCCAACAAAAAGTGTGGCATACGCTTGTACCAACCTCTTCAAGAAGATCTCTCATGACAAGCGGCAACATGCTGGAGTGCTACGGGGCATAGCCAGTGAGATCATGACGTGCCTGGCCTTCAAGGTATTGGCTGGTCTCTGGCTGGAATGTCAAGTTGGCCTGATAGTTGCGCTGCGGAGCCAAATGCGGACCCTCTAGCATGCCCACAAATCCTGGAGACTTCAGATCCGAAGTGGAAATCGTCGTCTCTGAGGGCGGGGCCACATTCGCTTGCTTGTTCGGCCAAACAAAGCCCGTGGCCTTGTCGAAATCTGTGCAGAGCAGGGAAGACTCTCACGGCACCCGCTGGCAATGCAAGTTGGTCCCCTGCACAGGTGAGAGGCTCCACTTCCTTAGACCAGCTCTTACAGATTCGGCTATAGGCCCTTGGTGGCATCCTGTGATATTCAATGTTTGCACCGCATGCACCCTTTTCTGCTTTTCTGACATAAGAGAGCACGCGGTCGGTCCCTGGATTTCTGATCTGGTGAGGCTTACCACGACACCATGGGCTGCCACAGTGTAGAGAGCCCTTTCCGTGCTGCACTGAAAGGCGTCTTGGAAGACTACCCTCCGACGCTGGCGCTGCCGAGGCCCCTTTATTCGTGCTTTTGGAGCGCCTCTCAGAGGCTCGGTTCACAGCATTCCAGCTCAAGGTCGACCTCAACCGTTTTCGGCGCAGCCGCGCTCGTGGAATCTTGCATCTGCTCGTCGCTGCAAACTTGCAGATCTTTGTCCTCTGTCTTTTCCTCACTTTCGGCATCGCTTTCCAGTTGAAGTGGAGACATCGGCGCTACCTGCGCTAGTGGATCTAAGGCGACAAGTGGCCTCAAGTCTGGAGTAACAGGGTTGTCTGGCTGAAAGCTCCTTCGCCGTGTGGCAAAAAGCTCCTCCCTCCTGCTCTTTCGGAGTTTTGCTCTGCGACGGTTCTCGCGAAGCAGCTGCTTCTCCTGATGTCGCAAAACCTCCAGACAGCACTGCAGGTGATACTCCACACCGAGATGATATTTAATTGTGCGCTCGTGCTCCTTCTTCTTCTGCTTGGCATCCATGATTTGGGCTGATCGCCTAGCTGACCGACCTTGTGCCATGCTTCTGAGGACTACGACTGACCTCGGAAAGTCCTGAGCCAACGAGCCTGGTGCATTGCCAGATAAAGCAAACAATCTTCACTACGTCGCTCTGCAGGGCGGCTCAGGCCGTTTGAACTGGACATGCGGACAGGTGCTAGTTCATCAGTCCAGAATGAGTTCTCAAGCCATGCGACGAGCAGTCGGAAGGTCTGCACGGAGAAGCCCGGAAATGGAGATGACACTTCCCCCTCCACCTGCTTGAATGAAAAGTCTGTTTGAGAAGTGAGAATAAAAAATAACTCGGCGCTGCGCAAGCTAGCCTCCAAAGACCATAAGTTTCGGCTCGGTGTGCGAGGCGGATTGGCCAACACCTGCATCGCAGACCGCGGATGCAGAAAGGCTATTAAGACCCGATGCGGGCTATCCAGATTCAAAGATAACCTCGCTTGTTGTCGCAGTGTTTGATTCGCCTAGAGACCTGCAGACAAAATCATCAAACCTCGCTGTTATCTTATGAGACATGCGATCCGCCAGCCGCTGAAGTCGGCTCTCAAGGGCAAGGGCCCAAGGCCATTATTTACTTGATGAGGGTGGTACACAATCCTACGACGTACAAGCAGGGCGCTGCCAACACAGGAACTTCTGAAAGGCAAGCCAGTTGAGGCATCAACAAACCCAAGCTTGCGTTGCAGATGCAGAGGTCTCACTCGCGGGTTGCCTTCACGCCAAAGGCATACAGAATTCCGGCCTCTGCATTTGAGCGACCGTGTCAAGTGAAGATAAGCGAGGCAGGGCAGCAGGGCGAACATCCCATTGACAACCGGCCTTCAAACTCAGGGAGATCGCTGTAAGCCTCGCAGTACTGAGCTCTGCCTGACAATTGCAGAGGTTAAAGCATGTCTCTGCGCCAGCATAGCATCCACAGTGTGCAGCTGGTCCTCGCAGCTCTGCACAGGTGCGCCTCAACACTTGGCATGCATGACGGAATGCAACTACGAGCTACTGGTAGCAGCATGTAGCAGCAACACTGCCAGGACGTCGATGCTTTAGGACGGACAGCACGGCCCCACGCGAGACATGCGGCTGACGACATGCGGCCATCAGCAGCGCAGATTTACGGCCTGGGTTCCGAGCGAACGGCCGTGGCTGCAGCGATGTCCAGAGTTTCCACGAAACAGTCCTGCCCCGTCCCCACTGTACAAGATGCTGGACTGTCACGGCACGTTCATGAACAGTCGGCTAAATGAGCTCTTGCATAAGTCTGCACACAAGCTGCGGCCCCGAAGCAGCTACCAGGGACCACCTGCTTCAGAACGAAGCCAGCGGGTCCACGGAGGGAAATCGCCTCAGGACAAGAAGCAGGAGCCACTATGCAACTCAGCAAGATTGCTGCTTTCACACCACAACATGGCACATTCTGCTGCACTTTATCTAATTATGCTTGACCTGACCTTGGCCCCGAACCCTGTCGTTTCGGGCACCTGTTGAGATTGGGCGACTATGACGGCATTGAAGCATGGCTGTGTCTGCTTCTGTCCGTCAGCGGGATGGAACATCGGATTCACTGGCAGCGCAACTCACACATCTGGTGATCTGGTGCGGCCTGTGCTATTCACATCTCGTGACAGGCGGAAGACGAAGGCGAGGCTGTTGCTTTCCAGTGGCCTGTCGCTCAGCAACATAGCAGAAGAGTTATCAGAGTTGCTGTGTGCTCCTCGCCTGTCGTTACGGCCCATGGTTGGCAGCAGCCTGGCCTGTAGGTCGAACTGATGCTGCTCATGTGGCACTCGGCAGAAACAGCGCAATCCCTTGGCCGCCCATGCCGAACCCTTTTCCAATTTCGAAACCTAACCCTTTATGCTCCTTTCGGCTCGCTGTCCAGGTACGTCTTCCCCGCCTCTGGCATGGCATCCTTGTGGTATCCAGGCGAGATGCTCCGCCAGTCCAGCTCGATCTGAGGCTCTGTATTTGCATTGGCCTCAGGACCAGAGCCAGAGCCCAATTTCTGGCATATGTGCAGGCGAACCGGCGAACCGGGGGTGGGACCACACTGAGGAATGTCCAGCAATGATGGCCTCTGAAGAGAAAGCATGGCCAATGTGAGAGCATGGGTTCATTAAGCCAAGAGCTGCTTGAGCAATTGTCTTCTCTTCCTTCCGATGCTCTGGCCTGGAAGCATGTGCTCAGGCCGTCTGAACGAGGTCTGAGGTCAGAGCAACACAGTCCATCTTTTCAAAACTGAGGCTAGCACTACTGCATTCCGGCCAGCCACCTATGAGCACAAGCCGACACATCATGCTGATTCTGCAACCGCTTGCCTGCGAGCTGCAACAAGAAATTGTGTACATTTCTGAATCAACCGGCTTGCTACACAAGCCTGGCGAGGCATGTGCGCGCGCGCGCCTCAAAACGGTAGAGTCCGGCAGGGATACCAGCTGCCCCAGCGAGAACCAGCAAGTCGATCTGGCAGAACCGTACATGATTGCATGCGACCGGTGTTTCTTGCAAAGGCTTCGCAGAATGAAGCACCTGCTGGTGGTTGACCTGAAATCCAGCCGCTGCAGCTGGAAATGGCCTTCACACTACAGTTCACTACAGTGGCAGCCGATGCTGTCATTTGACAATTGAACCATGTGTCCACACATGTCGCCATATGCGTGTGTTGACGACTGACAGGCTTGCGATGGTCGGTTTGCTGCTGTAATGGTGAGGTTCTCGGTGCTTGCTCAATTGGAGGTCATTGCCTCAGTGTTCGCCCAGACTCTGCTGTAATTGCGAACCTCGATCTTCCACGAATTCGTACTTCAGGATTCGCTTTCTCATGCATCTAGGAATTATGTCCGGACCTGAAGCTAATTTGAATCAGGGATGCCTTTGCAGCGTGTTCACGAGTGGAGAAGAAATCTCCTTCAGGGTGCCTGCTTGGAATCCACCGTGATTTCGGGATGCTATCGTTCCGGAGCTTCGGACTCACCGGCCCAAAATACGCGGTTGAGATAGGATGCAGCCACAAGGAGTGCATACTCCCACTGCTGCCAAAACACTCCACTAGATGCAACGGCAGCACATGTTCAGCACTCAGACACCGCACGCCGAACAGCCAACACTAGAAAACACTCTTCACGAAACTGAAACTAACAACCGGATTCAAACCAACGAGTTTGTGACTGTGGTCAACATAGCACTGAACCTGGAAAGTCTTTGAGCGGCTTGCCTTGTGATGCAAGACACATTGTTGGGCAGATGCCGCGGAAGAAGCGCTCTCGCGGGTAGCAAGTCCAGGTCAGGAACCGCCTGAGGTCAAGTCAGGTCAATTCTGCCAGCTACCAGGTCCGGAAAACGCACCCCCCACAAATAGAAAGCTGCATGCTCGGATTACCCAAAGTCTTCAAGCAGGAAGGCTCACAAGACGCACTGACTTCGGAGATTTAGCCCGGCAGGCCCTCGTCCTGTTCTTACTGAGAACATCTGAGACTCTAAGGCTGCAACGTTCAACTTGCAGGGCGTTGAGAGGCCGACGCCGGCAGGGCTTCGGACGATGAGTGCGCCGCCTGAACGTTGTGCTAGTATGTAGACTTCATGTCCATACATGTCTGCTGCGTGCTCCATCCCCAAGATCGAAGGCCTGGAGGTAGAGGAGTTGTGGTTTCTACCTGGCCAAGAATGGCCAAGACAACAGAAGTCGACTCAAAAGCGCCTTCTGAAGTTGAGCAGTGCTGTGGGAGCTAACTTGGCTCACCGGTGCTTGCATTCTCCCAGAGCATGGCATGAACAGAGCGCCTGGAAGGTGACAACAGTAGCCTGCCCCGGCACCCTGGAAACTGGCTCCACCCATGCATTCCTGCCGTGATCTTCGGCTTGCAATTATGAGTGCAAACCACCGGGCCTTCAGTCACTTCCTGAGACTAATCCACACATAGTCAAGACCGCACGCAGCTTTGAAGACTTGTCAGTGTGGGTCATACTCCCCAAACAATAAATAGGTCGGAAGGAAGTGCTTCTAGCTTTGCCGCTATGTAGCTTTCCAAAGCCACGAGTTGGATAAGTCTACTTCAACTGTTTCGCCGGCAGATGTACGCACTACACTACACTCACCACACAGTCAGGTCGACAGCTGAGCTTTGTTGCACTTGTAGGTAGCCGGCGCAGAGCCCGATCCCGCTGCTGCAACTGACATTGAACTTTGTTGAGCAGCGTGGCCAACTTCATGCTGCAACACACAGTGTGACAGGCCAGTCTAGCCGCGTGTCGTAGCGACAGAGGTGCTGACTCACTTCCTGCGCCCTATGCCGGGTCGAAGAGTCCTGAGTGACGGGATTTCCGGCGCATCCACACGGCCGGCCAGTACCCGGCCGCCTCTGCAACAGGACACGCTGCATGGCTGTTTGAGTACACGAGCTGCCTTGTAGCGGACAATCCTAGAATCCTTTAATTACGCGTGTGCCAGCATATTGCCTCGCAACGTTTGCAGACCTTCGCCCCTTTCCTGGGCATGTGCTGTGTAGGACTGAGTTCCCTTATCGTGACCTTCGCGCGCCAACTCATGTTTTGGCATGCAAGTCATGTATCCCTGGGCGCCTGTAGACCAGGACTGGTCGTATCCAAACCTGCTCAGGGAAGCTGGTGCACACGGTTGGCCTTCAAATCATGCAGTATCAACCCACTGTGCTCTGGCCATGGGGCTGCGGCTCGAAAAAAAATGCCCGGTTGAACACGAGTGGGGCTGAAGGCATACGAAGCCACAACGCAAACCTCAGCGGTCACAGGGGCAGCATCTGGAGGGTGAAGAGATATCGATCTCTCAACTGATCTCTCACACGCGGCATGGTTCACCACATTGTCTGCCGGCATCCGTGGTCTAGTGGATTTTGCAAGGAAACGTGATTTGTGCAATCTGTTTGCAAGGGACTCACGTTGGAATCCACTTTGGATCAGAGGCTCCGTCCTCAACTTTCTTCTTTCAGTTCCTGTACCCGAAAGGAACTCTAAACTCTAAACCGAAATAGCGGGAACACGACTCGCCACGCAGATCTCGGCCATGCGACTGCGGCACTGGCAGGCGAATTTGCACTAGAGAGTCGACTAGGAACTTGTAAATTTCGAGCAACAATCCGGCGACAGGGCTTAGTTTGGCATCAGCCTTTCGGAGCAGAAGACCACTAATCCTGACATGGCCTGGGCCTCTTGACCTTCCAATGTTTGAGCTTTCAAAAGCTGGCACAATTGCCATCACAGAAATTAATTTCAAAGGTTAAAGTAAGTTTGCTACATGTCAATCTCCCTCTCGAGCCTCTGTTCCCTTGCACTTGGGCTTTGTGAGGTTTGCTTTAACGTTCAAGGCACGCGCTGCAACAGCACTTCAATTCATCTCCATTGGAAGTCACACATAGCCTGGCACGTGACTTCCATGGACATGTAAAAAAGCTCTCGTTGCGAAGCTGCGGCAGCACGCGAAGAAGAGGCGCCGCGCAATCCCAGCCGATGCGAGCACTGCGTGCTGGTTTGTGTGGGTTTTATGTCATGAGCCACAGCCACCTGTTGTGATGTCGCAGATGCCAACAGCTAAGGTCGTTTCCCATAAGTCTCGTTCTGCAAATACCTGGACACAGAGAAACGAGGATCTCATCTGCTTGCAAAGAGTGATCAGGACATGGAAGAAGCCGACATCTCGCCTGCCAGCCGGCCACCGGAGGACGTTGGCCGCCGCAAGTGGCAGTCCTAAGAACGGTTAACGCGCAACTTGCTCTGACTTGGTGAAGCTGGTACTGTAGCCTGGAAGGTCTGCTGTGGTACCTTCGAGATGCAGCTCCTGCTTCAAGACGCTGGACCAAAGATCTAGACCATCGTCCACAAATCGTGAGCAAGCGAACCCTTCCAGCGCGGTCGCTCTCTGTCTCTCCACAAAGCTCGAGGGCGTGCGCAGTTCGAGGCAGGCTTTATCTGCCTAGCATAAGTTTCTCTCTTTCTTTCCGCAGATTTACGGAAGGCTTTCTCTCCTGGAAGCAAAGAGAAGGGGTATTGCTGAAGCGGCCCCGTCTGTCAGGCGTCCAGTGCCGAAGGAAATTGGCGGGAAACTAGGGGTTCCCCGGCAGCATCGCATCCAGAACCTTTGCTAGGGAAGGCAATTTCTGCCACAAAGTTTAGTTTCGAGGCGAATCTCTCTCTCTCTCTCTCTCTCTCTCTCTACCAGCCATGGGGGTCGGGCAGCGTCCAGGCCCTTCCCCCGCACGCGAGCGCGCAGCTGCGGTTCTTTGCCGGAAAAGAGATTTCTCTGGGGGGTTGCCCCCCAAAGGCTCGGCTATACAACGATTGTACGAGCAAGTCAGAGCGGCTGTCCAGTGATTGTCCCCCGAAGCAACGCACACAAGCAACACTCACAACACTCCAGTAAACTAAGTGCCGCGCCACTGGTCAGGCCGCTCCCCCCAGCTAAAGAAAGACAAGACCATTAAGGGGGCGTTGAAAAGAAACCTGGATTCGGGGCGATGTGGCCCAAGGTGGAATGGGTTTACCTGAGAAGAGCCAGATGTGTGGCCCGTTTAAAGAGTTCACCCCCCGTCGGCCTATTGTCAAATTATCCAAGTGGGATCGAACATGCATTCGCGGGTTGACTGAGCTACCATTGGCTCACGGACTTTCGTGTCTCTCTCTCTCTCTCTCTCTCTCTCTCTCTCTCTACCGGGACAGGAGGAGCAAGGGAAACCCCTACCCCTCCGCGCGCGAACGCGCACCCGCAGGTCCCAGCGGGGTTTTAGACAATCCCCCCGGGTGATTCTTCCCCAGGAGGCTCGGCTATACAAAAGCTTCTGCTGCCACGGGGTTGCCTACTGCACAACACTTCGGAAGCTTGGACTTTATGTACATAGGACTGCGTAGCTTCGGTGGCACCACCGTTGTCGGCCCCCCTAGTGGCCATGCAGTAACAAAAACACCGCGAAACATGTAACAGAAATAGTGTAGAACATGGTCTGCAGGACTGCAAGCTGAGGGCCGGACCAACAACAATACCTACTTGCCAATCGAACCTACAGTTTCCCCCGTCTCAGCTTGAACAGGCGAAGGGGTAGCAGCTTCAGAAAAGGACTTTACGCGGCCCCCTTGTTGAGAGCGCAGGGCTACAGTAAGCCCTCTTGGAGCAACAGGCCATGTACTGGCACGGCAGTGTCCCCCCTAGCGCAGCTGGTTCAGAGTAGCCCCTTCTATCCTAAGTTGTTGAATGTGGTGCCTCGGGGGTATGATGGTACAAACCGAGGCGAATCTCGCTCTCTCTCTCTCTCTCTCTCTCTCTCTCTCCTGGGCTTGGGGACGGATCAACGTCCCCGGGCCGAATGGCCCACCCAATGTTTTATTGGCTATACGGGGAGTGAGAAGAGAATATTTGATCACCTTTTCCGGCTAGAGCCATAAAGTATTCGAAAACGGTCATTACACGGAAAACGAAGACTAGGTGATCACATATTCTTTGCAGAAACATGCACGGAGGCAGGCTTATCCTCCCCCTGTCAAGTACTGGGAAACCAACATGAATATAAAGGGGGGAAATTAAGGCGGCAGGGTGGATGTCCCCCTCCTTCGAATTGTGGCCCCGCTCCTCAAAGTGGCAGTTGGCCAAAAGTTCTCGAGGAAGACATAGTTCAACAGTATGACCTAACAATCCCCCAAAGCAACCTGTGACACAAATAACCCCAGAGTGTTGACCTCGGAATCCTCGGTTTACGATCCCCCTCAGCATTTCAAAGGGGTTTGAAACAGTTCCCGAGAGATCGCCAATTACTGCAACGGCTCTAGGGTACACCTCTCCGATAACACGTTAAGGGATCACAGTAAAACAACACTCTTCACAACTCGGCTATGGCGATCTTTGTATACGGCTGCACGTGGTTGATCGGTCAACCTTTGTTTGTGGCAGTGTCTGCCACCTGCATCTCGAGAGGGTCTTAAAAGTCCCGGCTAAGGTTTGCAAGAACGAAAAACATGATGACAACCAAAACCCATGTCCAAGAACAAACCGAGGCGAATCTCTCCCTCTCTGTCCTTTCTTCTCTCGGAGGGTTTAGGCCTGTCTGGCTGCCCCCATCTTTCTTTATTCAGGCCTGACGGGGTTGCCCCTCCGCCCCTGTGCAAGTGTGCACATTCAGATTCAAGGCACGAGTACAAGATAGTATTAGAATGAAACGGTGTCTTCGCAAGATGTTCTTTCCGCTGTCGCTCTCTTCCTGCCTTCCTTCCTACACCTTCCTTGCTTACAGTGCATAGAAGGGTGGTAGCCCCGTGCTCCAGCTCAGGCGCATTCTTGCCACTGCTCATTGCACAGCCGGCATGAGAAAGGTTTGGATGCTTGGTACAGTGACTCTTTCATTCCGTCTTTCCTTCGCCAGGCTAGCGGACAGGGATGCTGTCGTTCTCTTGCAGCATTCAAAGCGTGCGCAAAGCAGTGCACCCCTGTGCCATAACACGGCCCCTCTCTTCTTCTCCCGGGCATAAGGGGCGTGTCAGGCCTCCCGGTCAATTTGCCCGCCTCAAGGTGGGAATTCGATTGAAACGGCCCCCCTCTGTCTCCCTCTCTGTTGGCTAGAATCTGTCTCTTTCTTGCCTTATGTATCTTGCACAAGGGCTACGAGTGGGAGAGAAAGATCTCTCTGATCAAGAATACATGCATGATCGATATACACTGTATATATCATATAATACTCTATATATGTATGTGTGTGTGTGTATATGTGCAGACAGACACTATAGAGTCTATGAGGGACCCGTGGACAACAAGCAAGGGAATGCACATCGACGAACGCGTATTTGTCTACCGATCTGCTTCGGCTGGCCCCTCAGCACCAGCACTGAAACTGGATCACCGTGTCAACAGCAAGAAACATGGCAAGGCCGGTAACGGCAGAGCTAAGTCTCCTCGTCGGGCACGAGCCACTCATAGCCAGAAGGTGCAGTTGCCCTGCTTGCATGTCTCTCTGTGGGAGCAGATCTGCCATGCCATGCATGTGAGCTCGTGCCTGCCAAAACCAATCTCTAAACCACAAGCGTCTGTCAGATGTGGAGCTTGAGGCTATGCTACCCGTCACGCCTGAAGGATGTCCAGATCTCCACCTCGGCTGCGGTCAGCAGATACGAGCTTACCTTATCCCTAGTTCTATAGCTACCAATTCTGCTCATACAACCCACCCTCAGCCTCAAGGAAGCATCACCTTTTTGGCACCGTGCATGCTCAGGCCTCGAGCCATCAGCCGCTGAATCCATCACACGAGCGCATGCTTGCAGCATGCCTAGCAAGAGTGCGAGCCGAGTGAACTTTGGCATTCGGGATGTCTGCTGCTGCAGAGGTGATCTTCGTGCCGCACTCTCCAAGCGGCTTGAAATGGAACGAACATCTCCTAGAAAGCACCACAGATCACGCTTCGCGTGGACCTGCTACTTTGTCTGAGCTTGCGTTTTCCAAAAAAAACGCCGGCTCCCATAAACCAGGAACCGCTGGAAAACGGTCAAGATTCCGTGGAATTGCGAGTCAACCTTCCTTCCCAAGGAATGGCTCTGCAAATTCCGAAGGTTGCACCTTGTCTGCATTAACCTGTCTGTCCGACGTTTCTGGTTTGTCCACATCCATGTCTTTGGCATGGCCAGAATCTTCGGTCCTCCAGTGAACTCACTCTATCAAATGGCGAGTAATCAAAGGCCGTGGCAGGGAATTTACAGTAAGCGGTCGGCAGTTTCGAGCTTCTGCTTCGTCTCAAAGCCTGTGTGCCGTATGCAACCCGAAACGGTAGATCCGAAATCCGGAAGGTGCAGCCGTAAAAAAATTGAGCAGGCCGGGCGGTTTGGTTTGCAGACGGGCTCCTTCTCGTGAATGTCGTCACGCAAAAATGCTTTCGCTCGGCAATACCCGCTTCGGCGCAGGCGCAGGCACCAAGACGTCCTCCTTGACATCCTCCTTAGGCCACGACAGCGATGTGCCCATCAACACCCTTCCTTTACGTTTCATCAGGTATCCTTGCTTTGAGGGATCTGGGCAGTGAATTCTATCTGAATATATCTGGATTCTACCTGGCAGTGTAGCAGACCTTGCAGACCCCCCAAATCACTACTTCGAGATCACCTTAACCCGAGTGGACCGACCTCGAGTTTGTCAAGGGCAGCGGACAGCTCTTGCTCGGGCTCCAAGGCCTGCGTGAAAGTTCAACAAGAAGGACATGTGTTTCGCTTGCTTCAGCTCTTTGCGCATGCTTGGCCGGGCATCTTCCTATGGTGCTTTGCCAATCCATGGAACCTGAGGTTCCGCCTGGGTCTTGACTGGTGCATATACGAACTGAATAGTGCTGAAGTATAAGGCTACCCGGAAAACAGTCTGCACCTCATGGAAGACTTGGGCAGAAAGAGTCCATTCGAAAGGCATCGCATTTCAAGGACTGGACTATAGTTATCTCGAAATGTCCGCTCAGGCCTGGGCATGCTGTTTCACCACGTCCGGCAAGCCCTGGAACTTGCGCAACGGAGGTACTAAGACACTAAGACATGCTTGAATAGTTTCGGAAACTGCTCAAATCTGCATCAAGTTGCTGGAAGTAAAGGCGTCATCGGCTTCTTCAAAGGCGTGCCAGATCCCCGTGCCAAGCGCTGCATGTCCCATTGCGCCAAACGGCGAGGCCTTCAGCTTCTCAGAAACGCTTGATAAACAAAGCCTCCACACGATCAGTGACGCACAAAATCCATCGTGCCACAAGCCCAGCAGAGGCCGGTTGCTATCAGGCCAAGGTATTGGGCTTCCCTGTGTGACCAAGTAGCATTGTATGAAGGCCTTCGGGGCAGGCCTCTTTGATGTACCTCGCATCTGCAATCGCAGGCATCTGCTCAATTTACTTGTACGGCGCTGGGATTCCAAGTCCAGCTCAGGCGCGACATCTCTCTGGAAGCCCTCCCCGGGAACGGGTTGCGAGGCATGCGCAGGGATGCATCCCAAACAAGATTCCTGTGACATCCATAACCTCAAGACGACAGCGCTCATTCACAGCTCTGACTAATCGCACGAACTCCGTGAATCCTCCAAGGGTCCGACTCGACATTGCCCAACGAGAGGTCTGTGTTCTCTCACCGTAGTGAGTGGTCATGGGAAGGTGGTCCTCGACTCTCGGCATTGAGAGCCCAATATGCGCATCGCTTTATTACAGGAGGGCAGGAGGAAAATCACCTTGCCACCTGCAGCCGGGATTCAGCTCTCAACGCTGGCAAGTGCGACGGGCGGAAGTTCTTCTTGGTGAGAGGACTGTCCTCGAAAGCATGGTGCAGCGCTCCGGGCAGCTTGCCACTCACATGCTGAACTGGTCACTATTGAGTGCTGTTTTATTGGGTTTCTCAAGTCAATACTACTTCCCGGAATTGCGAAAAGCAGATCCGAGAGTCCTCATAGAAGTGAAAGCCGTTTGAGGATTGCCACTTGAAGGGCAGCGTCCGATGACCATAGTTCGTGTCGAAGCCCCACTTCGTATCGCTCATGCCGCTGGTGGGCAGGCCTGGAAAATGTCACACACGTCTACTCTTTGAGCCAGCCAGGCCATCAGCAGCCCAAGCAAATGGTGTCTTCCAAACATGCCTGACATGTAAGACAATGTAGGACAAAGTCTTTCACACCACAAGGCAAATCGCACTTTTTTCTCGCCCACGATCCTTGCTTTGGTCTTGCAGGCCCCAAGATGGACAGCCGGCGAGGTTCCCGACAGGTTCCCACAGAGTCTGCTATAGTGCCCCATCTCGCAAGCTCCTCTTAACTCCTTTTCCTGTCACGAATATTGTGCGAGCGCAGGCATGGCACACTGCTTGAGAACCCAAACTATCCCAAACTGCTGTCAAACACCAGTTTTCTACGTGCTCATCGAGCTTGGGATGCCGACGATCTAAGGGGTGAGGTCACCCCGGCGTCGACCTCCAAAAAACTTTCACCATCGCAGCCGTTTCGGAGCTACCGGCTCTGAACTTGCAGACTGAACTCTTCAAAATGCTAAGCTGCTAAGCCTACTGTAAGCCTGTGCACACCACGGAACATACCAAAAACCAGTCACTTTCTGTCGATTACGCCCTCGTACCTCCGAAACACAGATACCACGCAGGCTTCGAAGCTCATCACAATGTGCCTAAAGCTAGAACAACGGCCGATTCATTTGATGCCCTATAGCAGCGACAGATGAACCGCAAATTGCCTGATGGCCTTCAAAGGAGAGCCCACAGACTCTACCAGCACTTCAGCAGTTTTTTTTGTCTTCTTCTCAACTTTCGGCAGCCCAATTGGTTTTGCGTGAGGCGTGTCTTCCCAAATAATCCGCGCCTTTGTTGGTGACAATTGTAACAATTCATCGTCGAGCCGGTTGAGAAGACATCTTAGGCGATGACCGTGCGGTCATGCAGCTGTGAGGTTCTACAGCACAGAGACTGATGATTTCCGACGAAACTGGTAAGCGCCCAAGAGCAGCTGCTTCCAAGACTCTGTCTAAGTGAAGTCTCAGCATCACTGAGTTTGGTCGAAACCATCCTAAAGCTCTTGTGAGACTCAGGCTTTGCCTTTAAAAATGTGGTTGGGGGAGGGCAGAAGTGCTCCGCAGGCTGCCCGAAAGCCCCGAAGTCTTCCAACTGCAACACCTACGTACGAGATACATCTACATCGGCGACTACTATCCTGTTTGATAACTATATCGGGATGGCCAGCTATGTGGGACAATTCTAGACTTGCACAAGACTCCAGAAGTCTGTATTATTTTAAGACATTCAGGTGATGTGCAGCGCGAAAAGCATTTTCACTGCAGCTTGGCTGTTGCACTGGAGCTGGGTCACGTCAGTCTGCCTCTCAGGCCGCACACTCTTCATTGATCCGTGCACGAGATAATTTATTCGCAGAAATACAAACTCCCGCCCAACATCACATCTCCAAAACACAAAGTGAAATCTGTACCAGCTCAACAAGTATATAAGTCCACGAATCTGCGAAGGGCGCGCAAAAGCTTGTCGCCAAGCTGCCCACTTTCCGAAATGCGAGGCTTGGAACACCTTCACAACATCAGAAAAGTCCGGCTGCAAAGCGCCGGATCAAAAGTATCAGATGCAATGCACTCAAACACCTGGACCTCACCTAGGCCCTAGGTAACAAAATAATCACCTAATCCCAGCCAAGGTGCATCCTCTGTCTTCATCCTGACTGAATCGGACTCATGAAGGGTTGGAAAATCGTAACTTGTCCCAGACAATCTTGAAGTCGCACTTTTACATGCTAGCTTGGGCCTCACTTGGCTGTGACTTTTTTGCAGCGCCTCCTAAGATCCGGGACATGAATTGAATATCGCTTCGGCCTCCTCCTCGGCGTGGACCGAGAAGTTGAGCAGGCGCGGGCATGGGTCTGTTGCTGGGGCTCAGATCGGCGCGGCCTGGGCACAAACGGATGGCTTCCGAGTGCTGTGGTGAGGGCTTCCGGGCTTGCAGGTTGGCTTGACCGGGAGATGGGATGTTTTGTCCAAGCAAAATTACTTAGTGACTGCCTCGTGCCTGTAACCTCGTTCATGATGAGCTCTTGTCGCAATATCCTGCTCCTCCTCCTACTGCTACTAACTGCCACTGCGAATACTACGACAACCACGACTGTTACTACTTTCGCGATTTTTGGAGGCGCCGGGAACGCTGACGGCAGCGATATATTCGGCTCCTGATGTGAGGGAAAAATCTAAAACCCAATGGAATCGACATATCGGATTTGCGCGTTTATGCTGCGTCGGCGGAGCCTAAGAACAACGACTACAACCGCAAGCAATTACTACCCAACCACGAGCAGAAAGCACTTGCGCAGCAAAACCCCGACCCCAAACCCTAGCACGCGCTTCTCTCATTGCGCCACGTTTCGTCGTTGGCGCAGAGGAGGGCTTTGCTCCAAATTCCCGCATGTACCTGACTTGGGATTCTTCTAACCGGCTACCCAACTTAGACCACAGGCAAAGAGAAGCAGCATCGGTCGTATGCACTGGCTTATCAGCTCAATGGGTTCGACGCATGTTCCGATCTGCATGCTGTGGCCACTGTGGTCTGTCAGTGTATCATCCTCGTATCGAGTACTTGCCTTCTCCATTTCACAATGCAGACACCCAGTAGGTTGTACTGGCTAAACCTCTGTACCGTACTGCATACGGGCTCTGAGATTCATCCTTTTCAAGGGGCCACCGTTAGTGTAGCAGTACCAGGTGCTTCATGTGAAAAGCGGCAAGGTGCATGCACAACGATAAAGGCTCCAACCGCTGCGCTGCACATGCCGTCGCAAAACTGGTTTAGGCTATGCGCTTAGAGTTGGCTCGTCCTGCTCGGTGATCCCTGATGTGCGAGCCCAGTTACCGGGAAGGTATAAACGCAGCCTCTCTCAGGCGATCGTGATCTGTACGCATTAGCATGCTGGGAACACAAAGTCTTTCCTGATGCCTTTTTCGTACGCATCACAAATCACGCCTCAGTTGCCATGCTGCTGGCGGCCTACGAAGATTTCCTCTTCTCGTTGATCAGTTGGCTTGTGGGCCCAATTCCAAGGCTTTTGGATGAGGCCAGGCTTTCTGGATGGGCCTGATGAAGCCAGACGTCTGGGGTTCATTACTAATTAAACCATTTATGCGGGGAGGCCAGGCCATCAATTCTGTGACCTTTTCAACCCCAACAATGGAAAAGACTTGGGGTAATCCCAAGTCATTCATGGGCCCATGCCTCTTGATGAAGCCCAGCTGTCTGGATGGGCCTCAGGCCAGACGTCTGGGGCTTTGTACTAAACCGCTTATGCTGGGAGGCCAAGCCATCACTTGTCGAAGGCTGGATGGAGCCAGCCCAGCAAAGCCATGGGATCCCGATAACAAAAAAACTTTGGGGGCACCCGATGATGCCAATGAAGCTTCCCGAGCCGGCGGAATCAAGGCTTCAAGGCTTTGGTTTTTTGGGGCTTAAAAGGCCGAGGGCTTTGGAAGGAAGCCCGGCCATCTGGACGGGCCTGAGTCCAGAAGCCTAGGATTCCTTACAAAACCGCTTGTCCGGGGAGGTTAGACCATCGATTCTCCAAGGGGATAGATAGCCTAGCAGCCTCCGGGAAGCCAACAAAGAACATGTTTTCGAGCCTGTATGTTGGCATTGATGGCGAAGATGCGGAGATAGATTTCCGCTTACTTGATCACTTCCATGTACATAACTGCTTTTTTGCATCTGACAAAAAGGGAAATGCTTGCGCTTATGTCTGCTGAGAGATTACCCGATGGCCCAATGGCTGATGGCCCCGTTATGGGGCCTGTTTTTGTCCTTCTGCTGTACATGCGACAAACCTGGCACCTTTATTAGGCATGTCTGAGCTTGCTCTTTCTCATGCTTGAACCTTGATCGCATGTGCTTGAGAGTGACAGGCAAATCAGTTTTGACGATTTGTGACTTCTCTTTTCGCCTTTCATTTTCTTATTTTCAAACAGTCTGCTGCCGACTCTTTCTTGCTTCCGTACACGCTTCGTTTCGGAACAGTCGCAGTCGCAGGGGGCATGGCGGTCTTTCCCTAGCCATGCCAACGAAGCTATGGGAACAGACTGGAAGGGAAACTGGACGCAGTTTCCTGTACCTGCAAAAGTACATGATGCACCATGGACTATGGACGCTGCGTCGTAGTTTGGGCATCTGCAGCTAGTTTTCAAATTTTCTGTCATCATTAAAAACAAGGTTTGTGAGGCAGTGTGTGAGCACTCATGTCCACGTGACAGATGTCTGCATGGTTTCCGAAATCTGCAAGTGTTTTGCCAGTTTTTGCGTTTGCAGACGTGCACCCATAATTGACGACCTGATGGTCGCCGTCCACATCAAGCTTGGGTCTCGCAGTACCAGCCTGACGTGTGTCCAGAGAGTTGTGCATACTGCCTGTATGTCAAGATTTTACACGTGTAACTATACCCAAGCATTGCATGAACTAGCAGTTTTGTTTCGCAGTATGGCGAACTTGGCAGAATTACGAACCCACGGTGTCACGCTGGGATTGAGAAAAAGCAAGGGTGCAGCATCGGTACATGAAGCTCGGCAGATCCCACTAAACTGTGTTTTTGCAAGCCGAGGAAACCTCATCTCTTGCAGCTTGCTGCCGGCAAAAGGATTGCGTGGCGCTCGCAGTGTGTCGTGCCATGCCGGATTCCGGTGGCATCCGTAGCCTGAGCAGAAGCTGCTCAAGAACCAGTTCTCACGGTTTTTGGCAACAATGGCTTTTTTCTCCAAGCTGACATTGGCCGTCGTCCCTTGCCAAGCCAAGTTGCAGGACATAGCCCATCGATTGTTCTGCTCGCGCTCTTTGTAGTTGGTATCCAACGGAAGAAAATCATCCCGATATGCGGGCATGGACGTTGGCCGGAAAGTTGTTTTCAAACTGCTATTCTGGTCGTAGTAGCTGTATCCTGAACGGGAATTCGGGTGCAAGCCGCTCTCGTGGAAGAGCAAGCAACAATGCTCATGCTTCATACAGTCCTGCATGGTGCCACTTGAAGGGAAGTGTGCGATGAGCGTAATTCGTAGCGAAGCCCCACTTGGTGTCACCCATCGCTTTCCACGGGCCATCTGTCAGTGCTACGCTTCCTAGAGCCCGGAGAAAGGAGTATTTGGCGGCCGCGGCATGTAGGCACAAGACACATGCCACATATCTCAGCGTTCATGTACTTGGCAGCTCGACGAAATTTCACCAACAGCCTATGACTGAAGTGCAGCAGTGCGACTCCTGTTCTCAGCAAGACCTGCACCTGGGCTGAGGCTTCAAAGACTGCAAGTGCCTCTAAACATTTCCCGCTTGTGCCTGGACAAGTTGTGATGGACATTCACGTGAGATCAGGCGTGAGGATGTGGTGGAATAAGCTGAGACAGGCACTCTTGCAATCCGATCTTGCTCCGACCTCAGGAAGCTGCGCAAGCACTTCATGGCAATGACCGTGTCTGCTAAGAGTTCAATTAAAGCGAGACTTGGGAAGCTGCGGCGTGGGATATACGACCTTCAACCGATGCCCCAGCCCAAATGTCAAGTGCTGCGACCAGTCGTGCTCCCCAATGACTGTACAGTACAAAAACTCGCTCTGGAGCCACTTCGGGCTCTCCGACATGCAGTCGAACCTCCATGCTCACCAAGGGCCGGCTTCGGTCACCGTGCACTGCAGCCACCTGCACCTGCAAAGAGAGCTCTGGCAACCTTCTGGTTTCCTGCAGCACGTCAGACCCCTCAACGACCCAAACTGTCCAGCCAGTGTTCCTGTGGCGTGCAGTGCCCTCAATACAGCTTTGAAAACATGAACATCATATCCTGGGACTGAACCCCACCCCACAGATGAGGCAGCTTCAAGAGGGCGTGGAACATGTGGAACAAGATTCCACGTGTATGACATGCGGAAACAACTTAGTAGCGACGGTTCAAAACAAGCACAATGCATGCTGATTCTGGTTCTAAATCGAGCCGGATCTTGATACATACTCAATCTGCTCACGAGCTACTTGTTCCACCTGTCCAGCTACGTGCCGATGTTGCGCTGCCGGGACATTTTCTCGCTGCGGCAGAAGTGGGCGAGCGCTTCTGCTTCTCTAGCAGTGATTAATCAACAGTAGATGCTGCTCGCCAGGTTCAATCCGGATTCTCGGCTCGCACCGCCGCACTACCGAAATTACTCCAAGAGTCAAATGCTGGAAACACAGCTCCATGCTGTTGATCATGGCGGAAGCTTGGCTGTTCAACCAACCCGCCTACCCTTCCCACAGCCTTGCACCTGGACACGGGATGTCACTGAACCCATTCTCGTGCCTAGCTTCCGCCGGAGAGCATGCAAGGCTTGGCGATTGTTCAGAAGTTAGAACTGAGAGAGCATCCATCTTGCACCCAATGCAGTTCACCAAACCCTGTGGCGAGGAAGATGAAACCAGCAGGCAGGATTTAATTCCTGATCAAGCCGGAGTCTACAGCCGTCGATCACACTGCGTTGACAAGAAGTGAAGTCCGCTAAACTGCGACTGGCAGAACAAGGCTGCCGGATAAGTTCCGCGTACCATCGCTACACAAACGGATCTGGATCATCTCTCCTCTCGTGTGAAATAGACGAATGATCCCAATGGCCCTCAACACTCCTAGAATATGCCCAGCAGTTGGAGGAGGGCTCCTGATTGATTGTTAGGCGACTGTAGGCGTTTCTCGACTTGTCGGCCCCTGCAAGGTGGCTAACACGATTAGGTGAAGTCTCCATAAATTTTGCAGGACCTCCCTCCGTGCCACCTCGATACATCGAAGCAGCACCAGTCAACTTTGATTCCACTCCGACGGCCTGTGGCGCTGCAACTCGATGCTAAGCCCCGCCAGCAGCCGGAGACAGCTGCCATGGTGATCCTCTAATTGACGCAAGGCCAGTGGGAGCAACAAGCTCTCTGCAGCTTCCACCTGCATGGCTTGTAGTTGAGCTTGGAGGTCCTGCAGCCTAAAGCGCCTCCTGGGAAATGATATGGCAAAAGGGTGTGCAGCGCCTCGGCATTCCTCTCGTCTGACAGGCTGCAAAGGAGAACGAGCCTGGGGAGCACTAGGAAAAGCTCGGCATCCTGGTATTCGAGCATCCTCCCAAGTGTTTCCGGTGCGCCAGGAGGTCCACCTCCATGACGAAGTTGGAGATGATGGCTGGAGCGGTGACCCAACAAGGCAGAGTACCAGTGGAGGGCAGAGTGCCAATAATGGGGCCAACGACAACTCTTCGTCGTCTTCGGAAGAAGATGAAGAAGTGAGAAGGATCCACAAAGTGAATCCGCTTCACTTCTTCATCTTTCTCCGCCAGGTAACCGCGCACCTCCACGAAGCCCGACAGGACTTGGGTTGCCAAATAGCGCTGTGCCGCAGCCTCTGCGCCTGAGCCCCCGCTTCGAAGAAGCAACGAGCAAGCAGCCACAAGGAAGCGCCTCGCCCTCCTCGAATCCGAGCTCGGAGCCCCACGAGGGCAAGGGAGCAAGTCTTCTCGGCATCTTCTCCTGCAGATCGAAGCAGAGTGCACTGTCCGAAGCTGAATCCGAGGAGGCCATTTAACACAGGGCGCGGACTCGGGCTCCAAGGCTCCGCGTGCTCTGCCTCCTCCGAAGCGGCCGGGACCTCCTTGTCTTGAAGTCTTGGGTCGCGAAGGCCAAGGGCCTACCACGTCGAAGACTTGCAGCTGCCGTTCCACCGTTCCACGGGCCTCCTCGCCTCGACTGCGATCCGCATGAGCTCCGCCACATAGCTCGCCTCAAAGTCGCTCCAAGCTTTGTCGCAGTCGCCAAGCAAAACCGACAGCTGCTCGAGAAACCGACAGCTGTCAGTCCGAGTCGGTTCGCCGTGCTTGTCTTCCAACTTTGCCAGCAGTCTCTGATGACAGTGGCGCACGTCCGAAGCCTTGAGGTGCGAACTGCCGTGGGTAACGTAGATGCGACCGTTCACAGCCACGGACTCGAAGTTACCTTGGCAGGCCTCCCACAGCTCCACGCGGTAGAGGTGCCTGGACTTCTGGAAGAGGACCCGATAGTTCTCAGTGAAGGCCTGCCGGTAGCTCCGATCAGCAATGTCCACTTGCTGGACCACGGACAGCAGCTCCAACGCGTCCAAGAACTTTTGAGGGTTGGCCTCTTGGTGCAGGCTTGAAGGAGGCGCGCAAAGCTCCTTCTGGGCTGCGGCTGCTAAGTGGGAGCCGGCCAGCTCGCAGCCGTCCGCATCCGCTGCATGAGCGGTCGGTGTTAGTGTTAGAAGCCATGGCGAGAAGTGCACAAAGCGCGCGAAGCTGTTTGACTGATTTAGCGTGCTTGAAGTCACTTGAACTGGAACGTTTTAAATGGGCCGAAAACTCCACAAAGCGGCCAACATTTGGCCGTGAAGCGTGCAATTGCATGTGGTGACCGGCCTCGTCAAGAAAACAGCGGTGGGTGATCTTCGTCAAAAACACAACAATGAGAGAACAACTGTATTCTGTTTGAGGGCACGCACCGCAACCTGCGGCCCAGGAAAGCTACTGAGCAGCTACCGGGAAGCCTTCCAATCCACGGCAATCTACACGCCGCCTCTGTGAGCTCCCGTTCGTAAACTTCGAAGCCATCTTCAGCGCCTGCAGGCATCCCGCAGCCCGCAACAAAACCCCAGCTCTGTCGATGCAGTGCTGCAGAGCACAGCGGACTTCGTGGCATGTCAAGTGGTTGTAATCAGCGTGGTAACTGCGCACATCTGCTCACAGAACTGCACCCCATTGACAACCAAGTCAACAACTGTGCATGGGTCCTGGTGGGCTCAGGCCAATTGCAGCCGATGCATCTACAGGGTAACCCTGACCCGACACTGTCATCAGCACCTCACTCGTTGCGCTTCTGACTTCACGGCTTGATGTGTACTGTGTGCAAACTGGGCAGGAGCATCCAAAGCCAAAAAAAACTGCAGAAAAGGAAAAACGTAGCATCACGCTGGGACCGCTTAGGCTCCCACCCAGGGTTCTTGCGAGGAAAGCAAGTTCCGAGGATTGAACACCTCTGCATTGCTAGTGCCCGTGCCTAGTCTGCCGTGACAAGGTCGACTGCCTACGCAACACCTGCGAGCAGAGCGCTGATGCCTGAGCCTGGAAGCCATAGTATTTGCCGGCTAATAGTGCCCCAGCCAATGCGATGCTTAAGCGGCTCCTGCCAGGAGTCGTGAATGACACAACATCAATGAATCAGTTGGTCACTGCAGGCCCATCCTGCTCTCCGCTGCGCACGACCAGATTCCTGGAAGCACCAGCACCCGGCGCCCCTCACCATCCTGCATTGGGAAGGCGCGGTACTTGTCTGGGCCATGAAATCCTTTGACATCTGTGACCGAGCGACGGCAGAATAAAGTGATGGATGTAGGTCCTGAGCCGAAGGTGTTAGTGCTTAGTATGGCCTTTCAGACTCTCCTCATACTTGCACCACCCGCTCTGCCAAGTGTCTGAGCAGATGTTAGTCGATGGCACAGTGAAACCATCTGGCATCTGCAGAACAAGCCTTTCCGTTCTAGCATCAAGCACATTCGGCTCTTCGTGCTTACCGCCTCGGCTCGCCCGCCTGCCAGCCCAAACACTTTGCTCTGGCATGAAGAGGACCTCACGGCATTCTGCCAGCCCGCCCGCTAGAGACGAGAAGTCAAGCGGGTTGGCTTGGACCTGCAGCTCATTGGGCACCAACGATCCATTGGCAGGCGAGGCGGCAAAGCCTTACAGACTGGCCAAGAAGTCGATGGCAATCTACGCTCATGCAGCCTTGGACTCGATTCTGTCCACACTACCTCCATCGTCAGGCATTGACTGCCTCCCACCGACCATCCACAGGCGCAAGTCTACAGGTCGGATCTGGATCGAGGATCCAAGACCCAACATAACCAGCAGGCTGCGGCCGAAATGCGGCTGGGCTGAATGGAGGTGTGGCTCAGCATGCCCAGCACAGGCACTCCTGATCAGGGTTTCTGCAGCCTACTCATGTCTGTCATTCATTCTGTACCCCTGCTCGAAACGTGCGAAACATGAAATATGCGTGCCAAACCTCAGCCAGTTATGAAAGATGCGGAGCCTGCTCTCAGCTCGACGTCTGCATCCTTACGAAAAATTGGCGGCGGGGTCCCTCTCTTGCTGTCCATGAGCATATGTTGCAGGATTGCAGGAATCTCGCATCTTGGAAAGGCCAAGCAGCGTGAAGATGGGACTGCGAGAAGGGAGCCACCTGACTGTCACTATCTCTCTGGACCGCTGCCTTCTGCAACCTGCTAGTGCCGATCTGCAGCTTCTTGAATGAAGCTCTTTGGTCTTTGGTTGATCTTTGGTCCACTTGAGTCGGACGTGATGTGGCTCACTGCTGTTGGGCATCTGGCTGGCGCAGGCACGCTTGTGGTGTGGTATCCGGCGGCCTCACGGAACGAGGCCGCTTCTACCAAACAAAACCTCCTGCTGGGGAGTCTGCAGATGGCTGCGAACTTTGACATTCATGCGAACTATGCATGGCTCGACATGAGAGCAGCTTGCTCGGCCTGCATCCTCAGCTGCCACACCTGTTCTAGAATCGCGATGCAAGGCCACTTTGACTGACACTTTCAAGCCTGACCACGTGCAAGACCGCCATTCTGTTGGCTCTTTGCTTGCTAAGTGCAGCTCGTTGTCGGGGCTTTGCGCTTTCAGCGGCGATGCAGGATTGGAGAGCGTTACCCAGATGTCGACCTCGGCAAAGTGACCACATGCCATGCAACACTCCCAGAAAGGCTCTGCCTGAGTGGTCCGCCCAACTTCCCGCCCAAATGGCACCGAAGGACGGTAAAGTGTACAAGCAGCTCCGGCCTGCCCCGTTTATGCTATGATGGAGAAGAAGCAGACTCGTCAGAGAAGATATGGAAGCACGCACCGGCCGCTGCCTGAGCAGGACCACCTGGCACCCAACATGGGCAGGAAGTTGTCAACTGATATCACCTACCTGTCCGTGTATGTCCTACGAGTAACAAAAACAAGCGCACAAGCTTTAGCACACTGGCATATTATGGGCTGGCCCTACGATTTCGGGCGGACGACCTGAGCGGTCGCCAACAAGTTCACCCGTCACTTTCACGGTGTGCTCGGCAAAACAGGAGCAAGTGCCCAATCCGCGGCCTGGATTCCAGAGCTGAGCTCGTGACCAAAGCAGTGGGCGGCCTCAGCTCGGTCGGAACTGTAACCATTTGCTGAGGAAGTTAGCTGAATCGCGACGGAATGCCTTTTTTACAACGTGCTAAGGTCTGCTGGTCCACCTCTAGTCGCTGTAGTTGCTGGGATATGTGTCACATACTGAGTTCACTCACCGAAATCTGCAGTGTCCAACAAACTGTGAAGGTGTGTGCAGTGACGCACATCCGGGAAGTAGTGCAACGGACTTGGAGGATTACTAGCGCACGTTGAAGGTTCACCGGCATGTGAAGGACAACCAGGGCACAAAGTCTCTGCAATGCGACACTCAGCATGGGGAGAACACAGAAAGCATGCGCCGGTGAACAAGGCCGAGATTCAAATTGAAACAGACCTTCAAATGGCGGCCGTTCATGCTATGAAACAACTGTTGCATAAGCGATTTGCCGACACTGTGCGGCTGCGGTCTGACAAGCTTCGTGTGCCTTGTCACACGCTGACCAATTCGGCAGCTGTACATGTTGAACTGAAAGTGGCTTCAAAGCCCTGCAGTAAAAGCGTGCTCTCAGGTCCTTCCGAAGGTGGAACGTGACAGGGACATCGTGAATTCCAACATCATCGTGTGTAGCAGTGTAGCCTATCCCAAATAGTATCACGACTTGTTCTCGATGGGCACTGCTCTGTAGAAATACCAGTCTTTCCTGGCTTCTTTAAATGTATGGACTAGGTCCATGTGTGTCGAGTTTCAAATAAGGTTCATCGCTGCGCCACCTGCCGCAGGTAGTCAGAGCATACAGTCACCCAGGACAAACAACGTTGATGATGTGAAGAACAGAGCATGGCATGCCACGTTATGAGCGCACGACAGAATCACCGACCTGCTGCACAGCAGCTCACCTTGGCACTCAAACAAGCTTACTGAAATTGTCTTGCCAGTTTGAACAAGCCAGCCTTAACTGCCTGGAAATATGTATGACAGCAGGGCATGACCACAACGGTTTCGGCGCTCACAATCCTGGCGACCACAACGGTTTGTAGCTCTCCTCTGTTGTAGCCTTTTCTAAAATTGCACCAGGCTGCTGCAATCCGCAAGTTCCCGTGAATGGCTGTGCCTTGACAACAGCTGTAAATCCCGATCGTCATGCACAACAGCATCAAGCCTTCTCAGTGCTGGCTCCACTGCTGGATGAACCAACTTGGATCCATGGCGCTCCGTCCTTTGCAATGGAGACATTGGATGCCACTGGGACACGAATGACTACTGATTACCGTAGCCTCATCACTCCACGAGGATTGGATGTCTTCGACAGGCTTGTGGCCGAATCCTGAAGACTCGGCTATTGCCAGTGCCTTCCTGTGAAGCACGGACTGCAGCATTTCAAGCTGTGCAACTGAAGGCCGCGCGCTTGTCGCAAAGTGTCTTTACCTTCACCCAGCTGTAATTTCAGAATTTGGCTGCAAAGGGCCAATGTGTGCGTAAAGTGTTGCTGGCAGGTGTTGTCTTGGGAGCCACGCCTCCTGCAGCATTCCCTCCAAGGTTTCATCAAGAGGAGATGCAATGCGCGAAGGTCCACCTGTCGTGCAAGCGAGAGAGCTTATGAATTCCGTCGCTACGAGTGCTTGCAAGCAACCCTCGTACAGCCCGCCTGTGGTGGTGGACTTGATCCAAAGTGTGCCATCTTCATCATACATAAAGTCGATAGCCTCATCCCAATCGTCATTATCGCCCGTCAAAAAGCTGGTGCCATACCTCGCAACGAAAAGACGTTTGACTTCTGCAAGCTTTTGCTCCAGTCTCTCCACGCGGCAATCTCGCGGCACACCGGTCCCTTCTGTCACGGTCCAGGGTGTTCCATCTGCATCATACTCGGTGTCAACATCGCGCCCGTACTTTTGCGCAAACAGGCCCTTGACATTTCCAAGCATGTGCTCCAAACGCTC